CTTGCCGAATGTGATCTTTATAATATCCACTTCGAGATATTCAGCCTTCACCTTTTTTCTGTAGTCCGTGAAAGCGAGAATAGTAGTTGGTAGCCGGTAGAGGTTGACGATGTCGTCAAACGAGTTGGAGCTAACAAAGTTGCTGATGTGTTCCTCCATCCCGTTGTGCACCAGCAGCTGCACATTCTTCTTCAGCTCCATCACAACCTCCTTCGTCAACTTTATTTCCTTCTCTTGAGCCTCACGCTCGCTTTTAGAGATTCTTCGTTTGCTCTCCTCAAAGATGAGCTTGGTGCTTAGGGAAGCCCTCTCTTGCTTGAGTTGTTTCACTATTGGTACCACCTCGTCCAGCTCCTCTTGCATCTCTTTATTGTTCTTTTCCAGCTCTTCCTTCTCCTTTTGTAGCTAGTCACATTGCCTTTGCAAGAGTGAGCACTCCTTCACACTCTCCATGAACTCTTGAGCTAGATCATTCACCCAGCTCGTGCTCTGCAATTCAAGCAAAAGTTAAAATATATATAATAATAATAAATAAATAAATAAAAATTAACTTAACATACCTCCAAAACATGCTTTACCATGGATGCCCCACAATACCTTAGAGCTTCGTCCCGTGCGTGATGCTTGTCCACTTTGGGGAAGGCGGCATTAATAAACCTCCTTGCCCCCATTATGTTCTTCGCCTTGAACAAACTGCTCTGGAAAGATAGTGAGGAACGAGGCCCTTCCCCTTACCAGGAGCTCGTACCTCAGCCTCTTTTCCTTCAGACTCCCTAAGCTCAGGATCAAGCTCAACGAGAAGAGGCCGAGGTACGAACTGAAGAATCTCGCTCCCCCTCACTTTTTCCTCCACCACCCTCTTTTTTCTTTGCAGTGCTCCCACCTCCTCACTGCCTTTCCTCTTCAACTCCAGCCTTGGCACCTCCTCCTCCACTCCGGCTGAAGTGCTAGGCAGGACCTCCCTCCCAACTCCGACCTCCCTCCCAACTCCACCCTCCCCCACTTCCATGGTTGAAGTCTTTGACTTCTTCCTTAGCTTCTTGGGAATGGCCACTCCTCTAGCAACGTTCAAAAACTTATCCATTTCAACTGTAAAATAAGGAAAACACAGTATCAACCACACAACTCTATGCTCCACATTAAACACTATAATATAAAATCTAAACCCACCTTCACTTAAACCGCTTGGCCCATAGAGCTCAATAGCCTCTATGCATTTTGTGTTGGTGAGGTACATCATATTCACTAACTTCCCCCCCTCCCTCACCAACTTCCCCACCTCTTCCTCCTCATCCTCGTTTAAACTAAACTTATTTTGATTGGCTCTCTTAGCCTTCCAGGATGACAACAACTTTACCTCGGCATCCCCCCTCTCCCACTCAGTATCATCTACAAAGAAAATTTTTTCCTTCTATCCTTTAATGGATGAAGGACCCACGGTAAATAAAGCCTTACTCTCCCTATTTGCCACCCTAGGGGTAAAATAATAACACCCCTTATCCTTCCTACTACCCCCCTTTAAAACAAAAAAATACTTAAACATATTTACAGTTGGCACATTAACCCCTTGAGCTCGGTAATAAACTAAAAATCCTATTATTACCCTCATAGCATTGGGGACTAACTGTGTCAACCCTATACTATAATCTAATAAAAGACCCACTAGCAACTCAGGAATTGGAAACCTAAGCCCGACTGCCAAATAGTGGGCAGACACGGGCATCCAATGATCCCGAGGAGCAGAACAGGCCCTCTCTTCTACCCCAGCTGGCCTAATCAAAACTCGAGAAGAAATCTCATAACTCTCCACCAAATAACCCAGGCTATTCCTGGCCTCGAATTCAGACTCATACTGTTTCACCTCCCCCACGATATCTGCATCTACATCATAACATTTTTCTCTCCTACCCTCCACTTCTACCACAATGATGGGTACACTATCCCCCCCACCCCAACTAGCTCACCTCTTTCCACCCCCTCCTCCGTCCTCTCCGAGTCAAACGACTCACTGGTCATACTCACGTCCCTATATTCTAACGCCCTCACCTCCTCACTTCCCCCACCACTCACAGTTTCTTCCCTCACTTCCCCCACCACTCACAGTTTCTTCAGAAGACATCTTTCCAAGTCTGTAAATTTCACTGCATAGAATACAATGGGGGGAAGAAGAAGATGAAATCAGAATTTTAAGAAATTCTAACCCACACTCGCTGTCACTCTCACTCCCAAACCTCCCTTCCTTCAAAAACACTTAGATTTAAACCAGAAAGGATGAGAGTAGAAGAAAACACACTCTAAAACCCAGATCACAACAACTCATAGGTTACCTGATCTTGGTTTTGAAAACTTGATGTAGAAGTCCACAAACAATGCAACAGCTCAGGCGCAGGAAGAACACAATAGAGTTTTCACAGCGATTTTGTAGAAAACATAATGAAAGTAAACTTCTTTTTACAGAAATTTAGCTATTTATACCTCAGGGCGAAAATAACTCCTAACGGTTGGGATTAGCTTAATCTGACGGTCCTAATTCACACCGTTTCGAATTCAACTGTATAACCCTAACGGGAACCGTTCGAATTTGACGATTCGTTCCCCACTCCGTTTGTCTGACTGTCGTAGTTACTTTTTTCAGCCCGTATTTATGGTACACGTCTTTCAACAGACAGCTGTCATGTTACATAATAACCCTACGTCAGACTCTCTAAACGGGCCCACTTAAACCCACCTCAACACTTCTGTTCACTTCCACAATTATATTTTTAACTTACAAGTGTTTCACTTCGGCTATGGCCATAGTAACTTCGTGTCACATATTTTACTTCGGCTACGACCATAGTAACTTCGTGTCACATATTTTACTTCAGCTCTGGCCATAGTAACTTCGTATCACATATTTTATTACGGCTCCTGCCAACATGACTCCGGTCATTACTTTTTACTACGACTCCGGCCAATACAACTCCGATCATTACTTTTTATTACGACTCCGGCCAATATGACTCTGGTCATCACTTCTTACTATGGCCCCGGCCACTATGACTTCGGTCATTATTTTCACTACGACTTCGGCCACAATCGTTCCAGTCACATTTTATTTCTGTAACTCATCTTTGATATTTTCATTCCCCTTTATCTCTATTTATGCACTACTCCCATTACCTCTAACAACATCATTCATAAGTGAATGACTTCCGAGGGGAATAGTGTAAGGATAAGTCCAAGATCCTTAACCTCGGACGTACTGTAACAATTCCTTAATAGCCGAAGTGAGATTAATTCCAACACTTCCGGTCAAATGGCTACATGGTAAATATAGTGGACATGCCAGCATCTGATCTATCATATAATTTCTCGGTCCCGAATTTACCCATGGTAAATATAGAGGACATGCCCGCATCTGATCTATCATATAATTTCTCGGTCCCGAATTTACCGCCGGTCCCGACTTTACCTCCTTAAGGGACACATCACACTCTGATTATCCTGCTAAGCAAGCCACGTTGATACTTCACAAAGACCTATAAATACCCCTCAGGGGCTACCTCAAAAAGGTAATTGAAACCAATCTAAAGTTCCTTTTTTGTTAGTCCAGAAATAGACCCGATTATTGCTGATTTAAGTATCGGAGTGTCTACCCCAAGAACCCACCTCGAGGCTTTGCAGGTTCATCCGAAATAAAGACGCAGACCGAATAAAGATCTCTGGTTTGGTGCAATTACAGACCAGTTAGAACTTTACTGTGTATCATGTTGGAAAATTTGGAGTTGGAGGGATGACATGGTATGGCAAGGAAAGCACATGGATCCGCAGCGGATTATTGAGCAGAGCATGCAATTTTTAAGTGAGTATAGACGGGTGATGTTGTCCAAAGTTCATGGAGTTAATGTTGCACAGAGACAGAGTGCACGATGGAAACCTCTGGATGTTGGCTTTGTGAAAATTAATACAGATGGGGCTATCTCAGTAAAGCAACGCAATTTTGGGATGGGAGCCATACTAAGGGATTGCTCGGGTGAGGTTATGGCAGCCATGGCATGTAAGGATCAAGGGGCGGTGGAAGCTACAGTGGCTGAAGCTTGCAGTTTGCGTAGAGCTTTACAGTGGGCTCACGATCTATCTCTTACAAGAATTATTATGGAATCTGACTATGCTTGTATTGTGACAGCTCTGAACATTGATTCTTTTACTGCAAATTCCAACTGGGGCTCTGTTTTGCTGGATTGCAAAATGCTCATGAAATCCTTTCTTGCCTGTCGGGTCCGACTTGTGCGCCGAACTGGCAATTCGGTTGCCCATGAGTTAGCGAAAAGAGCTCTCCAAGCCGAGGCTGACGAGTACTGGGTGGGTGCAATACCAGCTGATATGGCGCATGCTGTGGCAAGTGATAAACAAATTGTCTAATCTGGGGAACTGTTATCTTGCCTATTTATTGAATAAAATATGCGCATGATTTCTTATCAAAAAAAAAAATCAAACGAACAGTTTCGTTCCGTACCCATCTCTTCTTTCTCAAACAAAGACACACCGTATCACCTGGGTATAAAGTGAGATATTTCAGAAGCCCTCGGGGGATTCCATTTGGCAGCGATCAGAAGCTTCATTAACGATTGCCGGAAACCCCCATACCCATTCTGCTACTCTCCAACAACCGGGAGGGGACTGGGCAGCCGCAGACTCTTCCCTTCCTCTGGATTCTACGCGATCGGACCCTTTCTTCTCTCAGCTTTCCATATTCGTCTACAGAACTCCAAACAGCCGGACTCCCTTGCCGCCGCACAATCCATCCTCATCCATTCTCCGCCTCTTCTGCAGCTGTACACACCTCTGCCAATCAGCGACCCCTGCTCCGTTGGGACTCTCCTTTGCAATCCTAGCCGCTCGTCAAAGGGGTTCGCGAACCTCCTGCCACAGGAGAAAGGAGGAGGAATGTAGGCGGCTACGGAGGAAAAATCGAGAGGAAAAGAGAGGGAATTTCAAGCCACATCAACTGCCAGCTCGTGAGATCTGATTCTGGCAATTCCGGACATCAAACCATAACCCGTGGCCTCGGTAGCGCTACCGTTTTATATGGAAAAACAACAGCCTCACGGCCCTTGAATTCTTCCTTACTTCTCTCTTTCTTCTAACTGTTCCGACCACGAAACAGAACAACTCAAAGTCTCAAAGTCTAGTCCTCTGTCTTCAGAGACCGAAAGGCTGTTGCTTTGAATCAAGGTCGACCCTATTCACAGAACCCAAATCATATATATGCGTAATCACTGAAAGTTATTAATTATCATAGCAATAATCGACCATGAAACGAGGATACCCAGATTCTCCATCGAGCTCTGCAGGGCAACCTCAATGCAGATTTAAGCATAACCCAGAAGGTAATTTTTGTTGGCACCGTTTTATGACTGATTTTGATTTATTATTATTCTCTTTTTGTTGGGTTTTGTGGTTTATTAGTTGAATTTTGGACTTGGGTTTGACATTTTTATTGATTTGTGGTAATTTTCTAGTTATTTGATTATTGTTGTCTTAAAAGCTAATAGAACTGAAATATCATCAAAATTTTGATTATCAGCTCGATAATACTTGATTTCTGAATAAGATATGAAGGGAAACAAAAGAAAAGAGAGAAGGAGGAAGAAACTGATACAGCTTACAAACTTTGTGGCTATTACTTGCTTTACGGTCTCCCAGTTGAGCTCCAAATGATGAAGACCCTAATATAAATGTCAATTGGTCTCAGGTGATTCACGCTTTTTGGAGGATGAGAGCACAAAAATTTTTGCCCGGAATGTGGCTGACCATTATAGTGCCAGAACAAATCAAACTTTGGAAGAACGGGAAGCTAGTCCTATAATTCACTTAAAGAGACTTAACAACTGGGTATTTCTTATTAACTCATGAAATACATTCTGAACTTGTCACACTAGATAATGCATCAGATTTCTGTATTTTATTATTTTCTTCTCTCATTGGACAGATCAAAAGTGTCCTAATACAACTTTATGCTAGGCGAGGTGATGCTGTTCTTGATCTTGCCTGTGGCAAGGTGCTAGCCAATCCTTTTAAGTAATGAACTTTGCTTATTTTCTATTAAAATTCATTTATTCTAAACTTTATTCTTTATTTTTATGATTTAGGGAGGTGACCTCATCAAATGGGATAAGGCAAAAATTGGATATTATGTTGGCATTGATATAGCTGAAGGCTCAGTAAGTTGACATCAGTGTATTTTCTTTAAGTTGTGATTTTTTTCTTGGATATTATAACATGGTTAATTGGTGGGCAGTCCACAATCCTGATATTTGAGTCTGCTTGAATGTGTTTTGTTTAAATTAAGTTTCTTGTGATCTACTTCCCACCACACCCTGGTGGCTCTTTTTCTTCTCTTTTCTTTTCTTGCTCTCTCTTTTTTTCTTTCTTTTTTTTTTTTTTTGGTTCTTTCTTTATTTTAGGCTTAGTTGGAACAAGTTTATCTTTTTTGAGCCAAATTCAAGTTTGGATAGGTTGGGTTTTGAAGCTCATGAACCAATTTCATTACATATATTAATAATGAAATAATGATTAAGTTTGAATTTAAGCTTTATAAAGTTAGCGAGCTTTGAGCTAACCTCAAATACTAAAAGGGTCTAACCTAATCAGGCTTGTTAAAAATAAAGCTTAAATTGAGCTTGAACTTGAACATAAGTCTGCATAAATTCTATTGATCCGAGCTCTAACTTGTAAAAGTTCAGTTCTGCTTGTTCTGCTCAGCTCGTTTGCAGCAATAAATATGGAAGATATATAAATTCAATGCTAGTTGCTATGTTAATTTTGTTTTCCACATTTGTACAGATAGAAGACTGCCGAACACGTTATAATGGTGACGCAGACCATCATCAACGTCGCAAGAAGTTCACTTTTCCTGCCCGTCTTATGTGTGGTGATTGTTTTGAGGTAAGTACAATAATGACAACTTGCTTTGAGATTGCATATTCATTGTTAACCAGCCTAATTCAACATGGATATATGGATTAGATGTCAGTTTTGTGACATGTTTTGCTATGGACATAGTGACTAGCTTAGTACAGAACAGATGCATAAAACAAAATTAGTGTTTTGGTGACTGAATTTACAACCAGCTAACTTATCAGCTTGTATGTTGCTTATTAGATGTTAGAAGGATGTACCTCTAATTTTTCTGTTTTCATTTCAGGTGTGCCTAGACCAAGTTCTAGCTGATGATGCACCTTTTGATATCTGCAGTTGTCAGGTAAATAGGTGACACTATAGTGTTACACTGATTAACTTAGAAAATTATTGTTTTAAGCTGTTTGCCAAAATTTTTTGTTTTTATCTAATGGATTGCTGTTAAAAAGACTGCACTGCAGACTGAGGAACGTTGTTTTTATCAGGAGACAACTGAACTCAAAATTTTCCTCAAAAATCATTCTCTCACTCTATTTTAAAGAAGAAAGCAGTGATCTGTTGGTTGATCTAAATTTCTAAAGCAACCCCATTCTTGAAATATTTCTCTAATGCATTTGAAGTAGGAATCCTTTCTTTTGCTGCATTGGACAAATATATAACATTTTTAGATCAGTGATATATGTGTTTATATCATTGGAGACTTACATGAGATTTTGACAATCAATGCTTTGAACGCTGCAGTTTGCCATGCATTATTCTTGGTCTACCGAGGCACATGCACGACGGGCCTTGGCCAATATATCAGCTTTACTTCGTCCTGGAGGGACCTTCATTGGGACAATGCCAGATGCCAATGTGATAATAAAAAAACTTCGACAAGGTATTTGCATTCTGTTGCTCCTCAAATGGTTTATTGTTTCTTATCTTGAATGAAATATTTTAAAGAAATTTAATATTTGAGTGCCAGCCCACAAACAAAAATTGCTATAATGAAGCATTGAACTTATTAAATCAATTAATTTATATAAGCCAATAAAAATTAAATCTAAGTAAGTTTTAGATAATCATATTAATCCCCTTCCATCCTAAAGGGCACATGATGTAGAACCAGTACTGCAGCAAGAATAGAAGAGGAATACCAAATTGGAGACAGGAAATTGAGCAGAAGAAATTAGGCTTTTGGAAGTAATAATCTCAATTCATCTATGTAGTATGGCTATTTATAGGGTCTGTAGTACTAGGTCCAAACTAAATAAAAAATGACAATAAAGGCCTTTAAAATTATAAAACAATGAATAAGGTCAAGGTGCTAACCTAGCACTTGAACTTCCTATGAACTTGAAAGTTTTAAGTGCTACTTCATCAGTATATCATTGCAAAATTCCTTTGCCATTATTGAGCTTTAGTATTGTTGCTCACACTAGACCACTTCAACCATTCTTGATTGGTGATGCTAATATCACCATTAATATGCAGCTGACAGATTGGCCTTTGGGAACAGTGTGTACTGGATACATTTTGATGAAGAGTTTTCTGACAAGGTGAGCAATCTCCTCCTTTGGCTTGTCATGCATTTACTTTAAAACTGCCAATATAACATGTGCTTATGGGAAGTTCTATCTAATTCTTAAGATACTGAATGACATGGTTACATGATTCAGAAATTTAAGTCTTCCAGCCCATTTGGAATCAAGTACAAGTTTCACTTGGAGGTAACATTTCTATCTAATTTATATTTTTATGGTATTGGGCTAGCCTGCCTTAATTTTATTATCACTCTTTCTCTAGGTGTTACTGTGTTGCATCTAGAAAGAATCACATGATCTCATTTGTTGAAAATCTTCTTGAAGTTCCTAACTTTTTTATTTAAACATCTGACCTGATCTTTCAATTTAAGTTTTGTGCAATTTGGTGTGTTTTTCAGGATGCTGTTGATTGCCCTGAATGGATTGTCCCCTTCCACATATTTAAGTCTCTAGCAGAAGAGGTGTGATTCTGTCTTTGGCCTACTGCTTTTTATGGATATGGACATTCCTAAATTTATATGATAATTAGCTCATAGCCTCATGGTCCAGGTAATACCTAGATATTGTCATATTTATTAGTATATAGGTTACATAAATGCTTATACATGTATATTCTTGTGATATATAATTTAACTAAGATGTAGTTATAAGTAAATAAATGAGAGAAAAATTAACATAAATTGTTCCTAATGTAAAAGGATGTGAAAAAAGAAAGTGAGGATGAAATGTGACACAATTTGGTTATGTTTTCTTCAGCTTTTATATGACTACATTAGATTGGTTTTGGGTGTTGGTCAATCTCTCTTACATTTGTATAAGCAAACAAATTTATGAGGTTTTCTGTTGTTACCATGTTGCAGTATGATCTTGAGTTAGTTTTTGTGAAGAACTCTCATGAATTTGTTCACGAGTTCTTAAGAAGGCCAGAATACATAGAACTCATGAGGAGGCTTGGTGCATTGGGTGATGGTAACCAAGATCAGAGTAAGTATATTGTCCTTTGCTCTTTTAGATGCTTCACTGAATTGTAGGACTCTATTCATCTTTGTTGTCACCATGTTTTGATGCTTATAATGGTGTTTATTTATTTATTTTAATTATCCAGGCACACTATCACCGGATGAATGGGAAGCAGCTTATTTGTACCTAGCATTGGTCCTAAAAAAGGTTGGTAATGCATCCCTTGTGTAGTGTAGGAGAAGTTAGGGGTGTGTTTAATTCTATTCCATCTTGTTATTCTCCATTTGTGTGCATGTTGGGCTATAATGCATAATGCTGCCCAGAGGTTTTGCCACCATTATCTATTGGGTGCGGATAACTTACTAGCACTGTTTTTTCCAGCGTGGCCAACCTGAACAGGCACAAACCAATAATAAGAGAGACAAAGGACAGATGCACATATCAAAGCAGGATATCATGTACATCAGCACAGGAACGTAACAGGACAGCCTAATATATTCATTTATTTATATTTTTAGTTCAAACAGGACAATAAGAGATGTTACTACATCGAATAATACCTATACATGGGTGAAGGTGGGCATGCCCTTTCACAAGCTTTATAAGATTGTTATTGCGATTACAATTCAGTCTTTTAGATTTATGATACATTATTTTGGAGAAAGGGAAGCAATGTGATACTCATTCGAGTTTTTGTGGACTAGAACACTAGTTGCAGAGGGAAGGGATGACTATTTGCAGATTAAATTAATTATGTTGATATCTGACCAAATTGATCTTTTTTCTTTTGGCTGACAACAAAATTAATCTTTAGTATCGGGGGAAAATGTATCAGCAAGAGGGCAAAATGCCGTGGTGCGTGTAGTTGTGATGGTGCATGTTGAGCAAATGGAAGAATAATTTTCAAAATTAATATTAGGTGAGTGAATATTATATAATTAGAAAAGGAAAGATTATGACGTCTTAGTACTAAAAAGTGAAGACATTAAATTAAGGCTACAAACTATGTGAGATACAGTGTAGGTTTTAATTTCATCAATATTTTTAAGGCTAGGATGTCCTATATTTCTCTTTTCTCCTGCATAAATCATCAGCCCATATTCAACAATTGAAATAATTGTACCGTATTTAGTAATAGTTTTCAAACTATTAGACTTGAAGATTAATATAATATATGCAAGTATCTCATTTAACTGTTGGCATCAGTAGTCATTTTGTCAATGTTACATTATAATATTTTAAATAGAATGATGACAACTACTGATGTCAACAATCAAATTTGGGCCAAAATCTTTTAAATGGGCAATTTGAGATGGAACAACGTGTTAATTTTTTTTTTTTTTTTATTTTAGGCGTTGATTTGCTTTAACCCAATAATTTTAACGTCATTCTCACCTTTTGACTCTAATTATATACTCTAAGTTATTTAAGTTTGAATTTGTTTGAGATTAAGGACAAATAAATTCAAAAGTAACAATTAAGTCCTTATCTATCTAACCTATTAAAGGTGCTTCCAATAGCAGCCTCAATAGGCTTTGGTGGCCCAAAATGATAAGCCACTATGTCGTTTTATTGCAATAGTTTCCTCCATCACTAGTTCCCTCCATCTAATATCCCACATCGTCTTAGTGTAGTGATTTGTTTCAAAATAGCAGCCTTTTGTTGATTCGTTCCTTTGAAATCGTAAGAAACCCTTTGATCATCAGTTGTTCCACATGTGCTTTTATTGTTTTCCCCATTCAAAATTGCTAGAAACTACCCCTGTTTGTTGCTTATCTTGATCATTGGTTGCTTCACAAATGATTTGCGTTGACTTTAGGTCTGTGCCTATGAGCTAATTTGTGGATTTCCTATTTCCACCTTCTACTACCTACAAATTACTTACCCTTGGTGCCTTGAGGAAATTGCTCATGCTATTTCCACCCACAATTTCTTGGGTTTACTTTGATTTGTGTGGATTTGCTAGGTTAGTTTTCAACTGCAAAAAACTACCCATTAGACATACCTCCTATTCTTTTTGGGTGCATTTTTGTCATAATGGCTCCTCTTTCTTTTATTCAACTAAAATGGAAAAGGGAAGAGAGTATATCAACACTTTAGTCAAAAATAAATCTAGAAGTAGAATACATGTTTGATTGAGCTAAATTTGGAATGTGGCTACTAATGCTAAGGATGAGAAAGATCTAAGTCTTGGTGTTGTGGCAATAGATGAGAAGGTTAGGAAAGTGATTAATTTTAATAACTTTATTCCAATTTGAATTTTATTTATTTATTATAGTTTTGATGTCATTGCTAAACTAATTTGATTATTGTAGGTTGAGGTTCTTCATGTTGTGATTAAGAAAAAAATATGCCCAAATTCATGAAAAGAATTTGAAAAAAATGTCAAATTTATACTAGTACCAATTTGTATGCAATCTTTGAATTATAATAGGCAATTTTAATGTCCCATGTAGATCTAATTAGTGTCTTAACTAAAGTTGATGATGTGAAGGTGGATTATAGTGCATGAGTATCAAAGTTACCTGTAAAATTTGACTGATGGATTTTGAGTAAGTGATAATAATATCAATATAGATTTTTATTTATAAGTTTTTAGTAGTATTTGCTTGCTACATCTGTCTTACCTTCTGGGTTAGACTTTGCTTGACAATCTCTATCTCTTCTATGTTGACTAAAAATATGAAACTTAATTTTGTGGGTTGTATATTGTTAAAAGTTGAAATTTTTGTGAGATTTGGGTGAAATTTTTTGTTTTTACCATGTTTATCATTAAGCAAATTAATGATGATCCATTAAAAGCTTCTAAATTTAGATTCACTTGGTACACTTTTTTCAAGAGTTATTTATATTGCCATCTAGCTTCCTTTTGCCATACATAGTTTTCTTTTTGAATCCATAAATTGTTTTTCTTCTTGCAATGGCATTCCTTGTCTGTGGAAGATTAGAATATAGCTTCTAAGATTAGGATATATGGCTATTAAATTTTTTTTGCATCTGCTTTGGCTTTTCCCTTTGAGGAAGATTAGGGAGAAGAGCACAACATTTCTCATAGCTTTGAACTCTTTTCTATTCGTTTTAATATTATTAATTATGTTATTATTATTTTGTAGGAAAGCAAAGTTTTCTATTAGTTTATAGAGAAAAGCTAAGTAGCAAATACGAGATTTGAACTTTTGAGAAGAGAATTCAATACAAGTTATCATTATTATCTCTTTAGCTACTAAACAATTTAATAGTAAAACTTATTTTATAAAATTTAATATTAATGTTCTTTATTCTATATATATTAACTGATTTAAATGTGGTTTGTTAAGAGAAGTTCATGGTGCTAGCATGTCTTCAACAAAGGTTTATGTTAACTTTGACATCCCTAAAGTGAAACAATATTTAGACAGGTTCTTTGAATTTCTTATTTAATTAAACAATTTGCCATTTCTTAAATTTCTTAATATCTAGATAGACTGTTGAATTGATTGTTGTTTTTTTTATTAGGTTTGGTAGTTTTAATTTTCAATCTCAATTACTTACAAGAAAGTTAGAGGTAGCTCAAGAAACTCTAGAGATTGTTCTTTCTATCAAGAAAACAATATCAAATTTGATACAAACTTCTATACTAAAGTTGAAATTATATTATTTAATAAACATTTTATTTTATCAAATTAGTTTCACTATGTTTAAAATGATTTAATAATGTTTAATAAATTTCCAAAATTGTATAGTAATGCCAAAGGTTTCAAGTTGAAGCAAGAGTTAGCTTTGATGTAAACTTTAGTTGGTTTTACATAACCTCAAAACATTACATTAAGAAACTTTCTCTTGCTTACATTGATTGAGGATGCAGAGTTTGTAACACTACACACTCCACAGTATGAATCAGTGATTTGGTTTCCAATTTCATCTACGGTACAATCACATGGTAAGTTTCCATGAAGATCAAGATTTGTACAAGTATTGGAGAGACAAAGTATATAGAAATCTGTGTTTACAAAATGCATGACAACAAATGCTAGATTTCCAAAAGCTAAAGAGTTAATATAGAACTTTCAACAAAATGGGTATGGAATAAACAAAAATGAAGATGGACACCCAAACAATGGGGGAATATGATTGGAAGATTATATTATGTTTGTCCTACTACAAGCAATCTAAAATTGAATAAGTTCAAATAGTATGCTTTTAAAATTCTTCAACAAAATTTAATCAACTTAATAACAATAGATTCATCTTGCTGCATATGAAAAATATTATTTAAGATTGTTGTTGCAACATATCATAGGAGTACATAGCTTAATACCAACAAATTTTAATAATTTATACACAATTGGTGGGCATAAATATAACACTTTCAAAAAAGTTTGTTACTCAATAGGATTGATTAGAGAAGATAAAGAATGGAAAGAAACTATAAATGAAGCTTTTGAATGGAAAGTTGGCCTTTCTCTCAAGGAAATGTATGTATTGCTACTCATGCATTGTGAAGTGAAATAGTGCAACGTTATGAGATAAAATGTGGTTAAAATTTTCTAATGGGATCTTACACTAATGATGGCAAATCTTATATTTACATAAACTACAACTTATAGAAGACTAGTTAAAGAATTTTACACTTTTTGAAATTACAAGATTGTTCATAGAAAATGGCTCCAATTTTCAAGAACATGGCTTGCATCAAATAGATGTGGTATTAATATAGAACAAATACTATTATTTTTGCAAAGTTAAACTATGATAAAGTAGAAGTTGAATAAGAATCCAATAAGCTATTTGCTATATTAAATAAAGATCAACTAACAATATTTCATCAAATAATGTAGTTAAAAGATAACAATAAAGACAAGCTACTTTTCATTACCGGACTAAGAGGTACTAATAAAGCTCAATTATATAAGATTATTTTGTATAGAGTCACTGCTAGAAATGGATTGTTATTGTCAATTGCATCTTTTCGTATAACAATATTACTACTTCTAAGAAGTACAACACATTCCAAATTTAATATTCGATGAGAAATATTTAAAGATAATTTGTGCAGTATAGGCAAGTAGGATCAACCATGTAAGTTGATCCAATTAGCATATATTAGTATATGGGGTGAGGCTCCTATGGATCACAAACATTATTTTGAAGCAGTCCACCACACATTTGAAGATTTAATGGATGGTGAAATTTCAAGAGTTAAAAAACTACCATTTGGAGGTAAAATAGTTTCCATGGGAGATAATTCTCATCAATGTGTAACTGTCATAAAAAAATCAACAAGAAGTGAAGTGGTAAATGCAACAATATGTAATTCTTTTTTGTGAAATAACTGTTAAGTATTGAATCTCAAAAAGAACATGTGACTGCTTTTAACAAGTTAACTAACATTCAAAAACATGAGCAAATTAATTTTTATAATGTATTTTAAGTATAGATGATGGAATTATACAAGGTATACAATGTGAAGAGGGTGAAGAAGGGCACTGGATATAAATTCTTGAGGATTTACTCGTTCCATTTGGATAAAATATAGTATCTCAGTTTATCGATGCTATATATCCATAATTTGAAAACCTATATGATAATCAGTCTTACTTGTGTGAAAGATCAATTGTTACTCCAAAAAATGTGGATGTAATTACAAAATCAAAGTACATCAACTTGAGTTATAATTTAGTGGAAAGATTAGTAGACCAAAGTAACTATCACCCTTTGTATTATGTAGAAGAGTATTTGAACTCTTTTGAGTTTACAAGTCTCTCCTTACATCAATTAAGACTCAAAGTTGGAGCACATATTATGTTGATGAGGAATTTAAAACAACATGCTTGTCTTTGCAATGGAATGAGATTAATAGTAACAAGATTAGCAACAAAGGTTATTAAAACAACTATACTCACAAGATCTCAAATTGGAAATGTTATAACTATTTCTAGAATAAGCTTGAAACTAGAAAATGTTAGCCTACTACTTGTATAGAAAAGGCGACAATTCCCAATGCAAGTGTGTTATGCCATGACTATTAGTGAGAGCCAAGGCTAAACATTAAAAAAGGTCAACGTTTTATAGGTACAACTAATTTTCACCCTTGGTTAGCTTTATGTTGCACTATCTAGAGTCTAAAAGATCAATTCTAAAAATACTTAGTAATAACAACAATGTTCCTCGAAGTTGAGGATGGAATTATACAAAGAACATAGTTTATAAGGAGATTTTCATAGGATGGGATATGTTTACTATGTATTTTCTTTGGGCTAAATTTAATTTTTCATTTACTAACTATTACTCTCTTTTCATTTTAGTCTAGAAATTTAGTTTCTTTCAAAATTATCTATAAACTTTGAAAATTATTTCAAATTCATCTACCTAAAAAACTGTCGTTAGCTTTTTTAACGGAATCCCATGACATGCTTACGTGGCACCAATTATGTGGCACATATAGTTCTGAAAAATTACACTTTAACCCAAAAACTTTACAAAATTTTCAATTAAATTTTATATTCAAACCATTCTACTTTCTTAGTGAGATTTTTTCTTTATTTTGTTATTTTTAATTTTGTAATAAATTTAAATGTTTTAATTTTGATTAACAACTAAAATATTCATCATTGTCATTATTTGAATAAAATTATATCATTTCTTTTTTTATTTAGTTCAAAAAATTAATTTTATTTGTATTATCTCTTTCTCAAAATAACTTTTTTTTTTCAAATTAAAAATTTGAGGATAATTTATGTTTACTTATATTACCCTTAAAAAGAAATCAAAGATGAAGAGAAACATTTTGTGATGGGATGATTAATTAAAGTAAATAGATAATAATAAAGTTAAAGT